AAAAAAAAATTCCAATCTTTATTTATAGCGAGGGAGAGAGAAAGAGAGAAAGAGCACCAGTGAATTGAATGTGGAATCGAATCGAATGTGATGTGTGCGCTGTTGTTGTCGATTGTGGTGCTGATGACGGACAAATGGTAAACGGTGGATGTGTCGTGCTGATGATTATTATGGTTCGCACCACACACTGCTTGTGCATTGCCAAACACATCTTCTTGATCAATTGTGTGTGTGCAAGTGTGTGTGCATTTGCAACTGAAGGAATCAAGTCACTCAGCAGTTCACTGGAATCAAAAGTTATCAGCGAAGAACTTTGATCAGAGTTCAAGTCAACAAGTTCGATCGTGCACTGCAAAGCAAGTGCGTGTGTGTAGAGCAAAACAGCAGCAGGACTTGCTTTGTCAGCCAAGTTGACAAAACAATGAAAACAAATAAAAAGGAGTAAAACAGCAGCCGCAGCAGCAGTAGCAACAGTCACAAATGTAAGAGTATCCGCTTACAAGTTTTGTTAAATTAATTTTTGTATTATATTATTTTGTTGTTGCTGCTTCTGCTTCTGCTTCTGCTTCTGCTGTTGCTGCAGTTGTCATCATCAGAAGTGCCATATGATACAGCAAAAATGAAAGTGGGAAGCAAGACAAGAAAAATGAAAGAAAGAAAGAGAGAGAGATTGTGAGACAAACAAACATATATCAGACAGTGCACACAAAAAAGTTGAGTTGAGACACTGGGTGTGTGGAACAAGTGGAACAAGACGAGAAAATAACATAGGTAGTGAGAGAGAGAGATGAAACAATGGAACGTTTCAGAGAAAAAAGAGTGGATGGAAAAAAGCATGTGCAAAGAAGAGCGGTGAGTAAGAAAAATAGTCGATTGACATCAGAGTGTGTAATGAGAATAGCAAAAATAGAGAGAGAGAGAGGGTGTTTGGTGCAATGAGAAAGAAAGAAAAACACAAGAAACTTTCAGCGTTCAATTAAAAAGATTGTTGAAATGAGGACGAAAGTGCGAGAAAGTAAACACATTCATTTTGAATGCTAGGCATCAGTGTTTGCACCAAACGTAGACACACACAGCAGACGGCAGAGCTTGAGAAGATGAGGATGAAGAGGGAAAGAGAAGGCTGCCTAACAATATCAATAATCGGCAAAAGAAGGTGTCAATGACACATGTTCATAATTCCACTGCTGATCGGATGGTGGTGGTTAAGATTATTCACATTATTCAACACAATGTCTACTACCTCCTCGGCAGCAGTGCCTCTGTCAGGTCGTTCCTCTTGTGGTCAGCATGACCCTTCAGCTCAGCAGCAGTGCTGCTGACCGCCAACTGGGCTGCTTTGTGGCTGGCAGTGCCAGCAAGGACAATGCCATTCTGGTCATTACCACTGCTGGTGTTGTTGTTCCGATCCATAGACAGGCCAACAATGCTGCCGGTGCTGTTGCTGCTGTGGTCAGTGGCAATGGCCGACACTGAAGGGCACTGGTCGTCCTCAATGATTACCTCAGCACCTCCTTTGCGACCACCGCTGCAGTTGCCATTGCCGCTGGACTTCTTTCGCTTTCGCTTGCGCGAATCAGTCAGCGCCAATCGCTTGAAACGACTGGCCACTGTGTGGCTGTTTCGCTGCTGTTGTCCCGCCCCTCGCTCATTTGGTTTGTAGTGCTGCTGATGATGGTGCTGGTGCTGAGGCTGATGGTGTTGATGGTGCACCGGAACAGGCGCTTCCTCGGGCACCGGCGGCGAGTCCATCCGGCACTGGTAAAAGGCGCTCGACGTGCAGTCGCCCTCCACGCCAAAGTTGGTGTCCAGGTAGAGCTGTGTAGTGCGCGTCTCATTGGTCACTGGATCGGCGGTCAGCAGGTGACCACCTTTGTTTTTGTTCTTCTTCTCTTTGCCCTTGCCGTTGATGCGGCCGTTCTTCTCGGTCATCCCACTCTTCTTTGACCGCGGCTCAAAGTTGATCAGCACACTGTGCTGCTGCTGGTCATGTTGGTGGTGGTGAGGATGGTGGTGGTGAGGATCGTCGGTGCAGTAGGCTGCACAACTCCGCAGATCAGTGATGGCCGTGCATTCAGTGATGTTGTTGTGGTGGTGGTGATGGTGATGGTTCTTCATTGGAAAGGGCATCAACTCGTGGTTTGGTGACATGGTCGTAGTAGCAAAACCTCCTCCTCCTCCCCTTCCTTGATGACCATCCTGCTGTGGACCATTGGTTCGATCAGAGAGACCTCGCTGCAAGACGACGGGCACCTTTTTATTAAGGCACACTCGAAGAAAGATTCTCCGCAAGCCACCAAAAATCTGCTCAAACTCGTTGCGGAAGTTTTGGTTCAGCCAGCCGTAGAGAAAGGGATTGGAACAAGAGGAAGACATTCCTGTAAAAAAATAGAAGTGGGGTGCCGATTGAAAGGAAAAACAAGTTGTGGTTGAGCAGAAGTAGCGCAGGCAATAAGGGATAAGAAGAGCAAAAAAAGAGAAAAAATAAATTGAATAAATGAAAATGTTGAAAACGCACATAAAATGCTTTTTGAAATAAAAAACTGCTATCTACTAACTATTAACTGTTATCTAAGGCTAACTTAGATCTGATAAAAAGTAAAGTCTCCAAAAAAGAACCTACCAGCCATGTGGCAGACGGCGAAGGTTATGCGAAAAGTGCTGTCATTTTCAAAAGGAAACTTGAGATCACAGATGACGTTCAGTGCATTCAGCGGTAACCTGGTGAGGAATAATAATAAAACAAAAGATCGCTGATTAGATACAAGTCCATCTAAGCCACATTACTGCGACCACCACCATTACCAAGATATGCAGAAGATGAGTGCAATGGAGATGAGGAGCATATTGGTGCGCCGTGCCCGCCGCTGCAGTCGATTGCGAAGGTTGGGCAGCTGCGTCGTCGAGGTACGGCGCATCGTCCTCGAGCGCAGTTTAATGCACAGTCGCGTGTACACCACCGAGACGATGGTGATCGGCACGAAGTACTGTATGAGCATGGAGAAGACCGAGTAGTAAAAACGGCCGTGGGTGATGGGCCACTTCTCGATGCAGTACTTGATCGGGTCGATCTCCTTGATGCCTGGTGATGGGGGTGAAGGAGTTAAATGATCATGATGGTGATAATAATAAAGATAATCACTCCCTCTCACTTACCAATGTTATGCACCTCGACGGTGCGAAATAGAAAGAGCGGCAGTGCGAGCAGCGTGCCAATCATCCAGATCACCAGCAGCTTGGCAATGTGCGGAAAGGAGCTGCGATGTGACTGGTCCACCGGGTTCATCGAGTGCAGTATCACCTGGTACCGGTCCAGGGCAATGGCGGTGATGCTCAGCGTAGAGACGAAGATCGAGGTCGCCTCCAGCGCCAGCACCAGCTTGCACATGGCAATACCTACCACAAAGAGAAAAAGGGCGTGTGTTAATTAAATAATTAAATACTACTAGTCCAGTCATTTTGCCCTAGTCTTTAAAAAATCCTTTAGCTTATTTTAGCAATTGCAGTAATCTGTGGTAACTGAGAGCCTATTTCTTCTTTAGTCATTTAATTTTAATTGCCGTATTTACTGAAATAAGTGCAAGTGTCTGTCTCTTTAAAATCAAATTCCAGCATTTAATTTCTGCAAAGCAGCAGCAAAAGTAGTAGAAAATCGTGTTTTCCTTCTTCATTTCCACTAAATGCAGCGAAGCGCCAACAAACACGCAATGAATGTGATTTATTAGCCACATAAACATGCGATGCTCACGTCATGCCAGCAAACACACACCGGATAATTTATCGTCTTCTGGTATATACACCGACAGACAGCAAAACACTTCGTCAGTTCACTTCAGCCCCTTCTGAGCACTACTCTCTACCCTCTCTCAGCCAGACAAATGACACAGAAAAGAGGGAGAGAGATAATCTGCTTAGAAGAGTGAAAAGAGTGTTGAAAGCAGCAAGCACTGCACACACAAACACACACCACTTCATTTTGCTGCACCTAAAATCAATTACAACGCCATTTTGTCGATCATTTGACCGCTATTAGGAATCACTCAACCGCGAGCAACCGCAAGACAGCCTTTTCCTAAACTTAACATTAGTAGTAGTTCAGTCCCTTAAAAGGAGTTAAATATGGAAAGTGGCATTTAATTTGCAGTCGTTCACTTGACTGGTGCTCAGCGGACCGATTAAGCGGGTCATTCTGAGATGGCGAGAAGAAGAAGGAAATATTAAAACAATGTAGCTGAAAAAGCAGACAAAGAGACTCGGGACTCATGTACACTTGGCCAATTGTACTTCTTCTTTTACGGCCACTTTTTTCAAGGGAGAAGTGTTTTATCCTGGGCACGTCTCACTTCAGTGCAGTGCATTCGTGTGAAAGTGCGAGAGTGTGTGAAATCGATTGCAGGCAAGTGAATAGGCAGACAGAGAAAGAAAAAAAGAAAAAAACACGACTGCCATTGAAAGCGGCGGCAAACTTGAAAGAGGATGGTCAAATTGGCTCTTAAATGCAAACGGCACAGTTCCACTACCAGCAGCAGCAGCACCACCAGCACTATGATTGATCGCCTCGTAAGTGCTCTTTTGCGCACTCTATTCATTCAGGCAAATGNAAAAAAGAAAGAACACGACTGCCATTGAAAGCGGCGGCAAACTTGAAAGAGGCTGGTCAAATTGGCTCTTAAATGCAAACGGCACAGTTCCACTACCAGCAGCAGCAGCACCACCAGCACTATGATTGATCGCCTCGTAAGTGCTCTTTTGCGCACTCTATTCATTCAGGCAAATGTATTAATTTACAGAGAAAAAGTGCTTTTAATTGGCACATGCAGCAGTAGGTCCGATGGCGCAGTAAAAAGGCGGCGGATATTAAACGAAACAAGAAGAAAAAGAAGAAACGAAACCAAAACAGAAAAGGAAGAGGAAATGCTAATGAAAATTGCCAGCAGCAAACCGACACTGCGGTTGCCTCCTGTCCGCCGAGAGTAATCTACCCTGATGAGGACTGTTTCAGTACAAAGAAGGATCAATCTAGTGAAATCTTTGAAGCAAAGAGAGAGAGAGAGAGAGAAAGAGAGAGAAAAACTGAAACAATGGAAGACTGATTGTGTTGGCCAACTAACCAGGACAAGCCCTAACACGTTCCACCGTAATTGGCTGGGCCAAATGAATAGATGTACCATCGTACTGCTGATTTGATCTCGTGATCATCCTTCATTTTCTTTCACCCAAAAGAGGACAATGAGATCAGGAAAGCGTCTCAGTAATTAACTGCTGGAATGATAATGATGATGATGATGGTGATGGTAATGGCGATGATGATGATAATTTGTGTGGTTTTGGTTCCCATCACCCAACATATGTGCCAGTGTGTGTGTGCATGGGGTGATAATGAGAAAACAGGCGCCCTTATAAAGAAAAAAAGCAAGAGAAGAAAGAGGGTGTGAGCCAAACGGAACACCAAGATTCTATTTGCAATTCAATTGAGCCAAACAGACAGCAGTTGACACACAGACAGACAGACTGAGAACAGAGAACATAGACAGTTGTCGCCGTCGCCGTCGTCGTTCAGACTCAATTAGGGCAATCAGCTCGACTGAGAGTGAACGTAAGTGAATTAGAGCATTTCTGAAAGCGCACACACACACTCACACTTACTTACACTTCAAGCAGTTTGTGTGTGTGTGTGTGTGTGTGTGCAAGCTCATAAAGGCCAACCGACAACTCTGGTGTGAGAAGATACCACACACACCATTGGCGAGTAATTGCTCTTTATTGGCTTGTTTTCCTGCCATTCTCAGAGGGGGAGGAGAAGGAAGAGGGTGGACAGAAGAAGAAGAAGAAGAAGAAGACAACTGGTGCAGCACAAAGACAACGAGCACTGTGACGAGCACTGAATCGTATGTTTAGGAAGAAAGGAGGATGATCACCGGCAAAACAATCAATAAATCAATCGATTCCAATTTGTGTTCCTATCAGCAGGCTGCCGCTGAGAGTCATTCTCTTTCTCTCTGTTTACTGAAACTCTGCGAGTCATTGTGCAACACACACAGCAAATTGCATTATTACCAAAATTTGTCATTGCTGCGACTGTTTGTTTCAGTGCAAAAAGTGCACTATCCTATTTATTTTGTCTCCCTCGCCAGCACTCAACTGCAACCCCCTCCTCATTTTTATCAGTGCCAACACTGCTGCTGCTGCTGTTGCTGGTGCCTACATTTTAAAAATGAGGTTTGAAAGGCTTTTTAGCTGTCAACAATTTGCCAAGTGTTGTTAATGTGCAGGGCCTTGAAACCACTTCCAATGGCCAAAAAAGGGATGGCAGCGTTTTTCATCGGTGGCTATTGGAGGCTAAGCCAAAACTGACCACCACCACCACCACCACCACTGGCCCGAATGGCGTGCCTGAATAATATAAATGTCAAAATCACCCTCCATTTTTCTCTGCACTCAGCAATACAAATGCAAATATCATTTCTGATTGCTTTATTGGCAAATTATTAATAGGCAAAAAGGAAGTGGAGCAGAAACACATTGCGAGCAGAAACAAATAAGCACATAGTCGAATACAAATACAAATACACATAAACACACACACACACACGTAGGCACACTCATAATGTGCTCAAGGGATTTTTAATAAGGCAATATTAGGGAACAGGGAGAAAACCAGGATAGAGCATAGCCAGACAACTGCCAGAAATGTGCACCAGTGGACATGTCGAGAATGTGACGGCAGAATAGTGAAAGAAATGAAAGGGGAGAAAAAGAAGAAAAAGAAGGGATCGAGATGACAGCAGCAATTGGAGTAGTGGTAGCAGCAGCAGCAGCAGCATCAGCAGTCAAGTAGAAGTCATGTAGAAAATGAAGATCAGCTAATTACATTGTGTACGGGAGAGTGAGCATTACTAGCTGGCAATGAGGAAGCCACCGACTCGTGTATCCTCCTGCCTGAGCGCCAATTAGCCCAGCTAATCAATTGATTTAGCTGCAGACAATTACGTAAACATGTGCGGCGGCGGCGGTCTGCTTCAGTCGCCTGTGTATTTTTTACTGTAAAGAAGAAGCCTGGTGAAGACACACCGACACCAGACAGTAAAGCCTACACACACATTTACTGCTGAATGGCTCTTTCACTTTTGGTACTTCTCCTGCTGTTGCTTCTGCTGCTGCTGCAGTTTCTATTTTACTGGCAGTAAAAACCGATCATGTGCCTCCTGCAGTGTGTTTGTGTTTACCACTGTGTCTCTCCGCGCGTTTTGTTTCGTTTTTTTTGCTTTCACTTCTTAGACAGGTATCCTCTGACAGGTTACTGCTACTACCCTTACAGCAGCGAGTGCAATGAGTCAAACACGGGTAACATAATACCAAAACTGACTCGTCTTGCTGTGCAATTGGAGTGCACCAATTTGCAAGCTACACTCTGCCAGTGTCCAATTGGCCTGTGTGTCGTCTCCTTCTTCTTTTTCTTCGCTGTCAAGACTAAAACAACTTCAACTGTCAACAAGCAAAAAAACAGTTTTGCAGAATAATTCTGCTCTATAAAGCTCATTTGTGGATGTGTCGTTTTTCTATTTTATACTTTTGCTATTGCTTCCTACCACTTTTCCAGTTTTTTATTGTCGCACGACAAACAGTCACTGCTAACTCGGCCGTTGCAAGTTGCAACTGTCACCAATTTGGCAGGAGAAAAAAGTGCTTCAAATTACTGTAAGCTAATCGGCTGTCTTCAGCACTTCTTCCTTCTTCTCACTTTTGCCTCAAGTGGATCTGGCTTGCTCTCAAGAGAAGGGAAAAGTGAAAAAAGCTAGGCAAGCATGCCATGCGAAATTGGACCCAAAAAAGCTAAAAAGGCAAATATTGAAACGGCTGCGCATATCCACCCGAAACAGCAGCACCATTAACACTGAGAGTTGTATGAATAATGACCAGAGCAAACAAACGAGTAAGCAAGCAAGGAGGCCATTCTGTCAACGAGAGAGGCAACAGCAAAGCTGCAACAACGGAAAATTTTTTTTGCTGCAGTAAGACGACACTTGCTCTGGTGATGTGATGGCGATGCGAGTGGTCGAGAGAAATGAAGAGAACGAGAGAAAAAGGAAGGAAAGAGAAATGGAAAGAAAAACAAGAGCAGACATTCTCGATTGGCATCCTCTAGACGCCGAGAAAAGTGCTGCTGCTGATGCTGATGCTGCTTCTGTTGATGTCGCCTTAGCCTTCGTCAGGCAAAAGCCAGCCCAGCTCCTTAGGTGCAATCGACTGGAGACAACTTAATTCGAAACACTGTAATGAAATGTGTGTGCCAGGCAGTGGCTGTGTCTGTGTCTGTGTCTGTGTGGTGTATGTGCTTTGCCGACTGATAAAGAGAGAAAGAGTGAGTTGCCTGGAATGCAATTACCACACATGCACACTCACATCGGCACTGTGCAGACACTGGACTTTCTTCTCTCTCTCTCTCTCTCTCTCTCTCTCTCTCTCTCTCTCTCTCTCTCTCTCTCNCTCTTTGTCCGGGCCTTTGATGCCGCTCCTTTCGTCACCCGAGGCACATGATTTTTTCTCCTCTTTCTTCTCATCACCGTCATCATCTTTACCACCATCACCACCACTACCACTGAATTTTCGATGGTGCACTGAGTGCGAGCACCAAATTGGCCTGATGACGATGATGGCAATGATGATGGCGATTTGCATTTTTCTCTGCAACATCAGAAAATATTTTTTGCTAATTCTGCGACAATGTGGCTAATAGAGAAGGAGAAGGAGTGAGGGGGTGGGAATGAGCAAAGTAGAGCAGCAAAAATTCACCCAGACCCTGTTTGGTGCAAGCAAACTGTCCCCACCCCCATCTCAAACAGGCATTGGATACTTGTTGCCAAGTTGGAACTCACACACATTTACTAGTAGCCACATGTTAAATGGGGCTTAAGTGAAAAAGAGAAGGGGAGGGTCGGTGGTTGAAAGGCCGTTTACTTATTCACGATAACTTATGCCCGATTGTATGGCACGCATTAATGATGTGTATTTAAAAGCAGGAGAAACTGCATAATGAGATTTGCACAGTCAAGCACACACACACACAAACACTGTCTCATTCTGTGCTTCATCGTCTGTTCTTGGCAGCCTAATCAGTTTGCTCTACTGGGATCTTATAATTGGCCAACTTCGAGCTGGAGTTATCGGAGCTGCAAATCCGCTGCATTCTTTTTTTCTTTGCTCAGCACTACTACTACTTTGCAAAGTGTCCCTACTTTCATTCAAAGAACAAAAATGGCAACGTTTGACAGTTGACAGCCAAAAAGAGTCAGCACCCCACTTCAAGTGAATTCCAGCACCCAGCCAGTAATTCATCATTTGCCATTTAAAAATGGCTTGCACAAGCACAAGCACTAGCACACACACACACCATTTTCAGTTGGATTAATTAAGTGTACATTAGGGTAATGTACACACAAACTGTAGTAAACAGTGAAAAGAGGGTAAAGAGCGGAAGAGCAGAAAACGATAGAAAGCAACCATCGATAAGCTTCTGCCATAATAAGCAAGCACAATAGGGCAATATTGCAAAGTGCTAAACTTGTGTGTGTGTGAGAGAGAGTGAATGGCAAAATCCCAAACTAAAATCAAGGGCAAGTTGTCAATTAAAATGTGAGTTTGTGCATTAAAAGTGAATAAAAGAAAAAGAAGAAGAAAAATAGAGTGATAGAGTGCGGGGGAAAAGCAGTGATGTTGACAGGATGAATGTGTGCAAGAAAAAGAAAAAGAAAAAGGCGCCTAAACCAGCTTGTCTCCTCACTCTGCTAAATGGCGGCAAATCATTAAGCCTAATGAAGCGTCAAAAGTGTGAGAAGCTCTGAAGCAAGGGAAAAAAGCTCTAAATGGCGGCAATACAAAAACAAAGGCAAAACAACAGCACTCACCGTAAGGCCAAGACTTGGTGGAGATCTCCACCAGGGAGAAGGGAATGGTGAAGAAGCAGAGGAGCAGGTCGGAGATGGCCAGGTTGATGATGAAGAGGTTGCGCGAGGTGCGCATCTTCGGCTGGCGGGCCACCGCCAGACAGACCAGCCCATTGCCGATGGCGCCGATGAAGATGAGCACGGTGTAGACGATGCCCAGACAGGTGAGGCTGAAGCTGTCCAGCGCCCGGTTCTGGTAGTACTGCTGCACCAGCTCGTCGTCGTCGTCCAGAATGCCTGGCAGGAGGGAGGGTGAAAATGGAAGGGGGAGGGGAAAGAAGGAAAGGAAAAGACAAACAAAAACACAAGTTAGTCGGTCAGTCTTTTGCCTGCTCTCCTGCTCTGCAAACACTGTCTGGCAGGCAATTCCTAATGGAAGTTGGCGGTGGTGGTGATGGTACTCGCTCCATTTGCATATTGTATCCGGTTACCACCACCACAGTGGATGCGATCACTTGCATCAAGTTTTTTCGCGTTTTGTTTTCACTCTACCTATGAAACTGAAAAAAAA